AAAAAAAAAAAAAAAAAAAAAAAAAAAAAAAAAAAAAAAAAAAAAAAAAAAAAAAAACCTCCCATTTTCAGTTGATTAGCCAATCGTCTCTCGTTCTGCAGAACCAGACGAAGCTCGAGCCTTTTCCATCCCGCATTCCAACCATTCCAACCCGTTCGAAATCGCGTTCGGATTTGCGCTCTTCTCAGGTTGAATGTCCCCAGCCTCGACGTCCCCGTCTGCTTGGATCGCACTCGCGGACTATTCCTAGTAGCCAGCCACCCAAGTTACGCCAGCAGATAGTCACTCTTAGTACTCAGTCTGTTTCCACAGCCACCCCCATGGTCTCCCCTACTGGTAATCTCACTCTTTTTCTGCCCCCCGCACATGGTTCAGCAGAATCAGCACCCTACCCTGCAGCTTAGGACTCAGAGGTAGGATTTGCTTGCAACTTGGGCTTCTTAAATTATTATTGGGTAAATTCTGTACATTTCCCAAGAAAGCCAAGAAAGAAAAAAGCCCATCTGAGCAAGCCACGCGCCAGCAGGTCCATTAACCCCCATCATCTACTGCAGAGGTTACTATGGGCTTCCCTGCACTACTCTCCACGTGCACAAAAAAACAAAAAAGATGGCAATGTATCTTTCCATGTTCTAGCGGTGGATTCAGTCTCATTTTGCACATTTGGAGAGTAGTGCAGCAAGGCCCTATGTGAGATGACATGCAACACCACCAGCCCACTTAAATCCAAAAGCCCAAAGCCAAAAAGGCAAGTCTGAATCAGTTCTCAGACAAGTGTTTGTCTTCTCTACCTATAACACATACTGCGGGGAGTCGAAAGCAGACCTGGAAATGTTATCTTGTTTGTGCTGCTGTTGTTGTTGTTGTTGTTTTGCAGTACGAGGAAGGGAATGGAGATCCCAGCTGAGACCAGTATCTCCATCCGATCTCGCTTTGTTGCCGGCTGTCTTTCCAGAGATGCTGCCCGCCTTTTGTTCTCCCATGTCGGCCAACGTCGCCCACCAGCTTGTCTTCAGCTTACCCGCAGATTCGGTAAGGGCTGATTGGTAGGGCGTTCTTCCGCCTTGCTCACTGTCGTGATCCGGACATTCATCCATCAAACCCCCTTTCAAAGGTGCGCTCGGCTTCTTCACTTTCGGGAGCTGGGGAAGATCTCTCTTACTAGGTGAAGTCAGCGATACTGCTGCTGTGTCCATTTCGGAGGCAGTCATACCAGCAGCCGTGGCACTGCCGAGAGCTTCGACAGCAGGGGGGGTGGTCCTACAACGTGGAGGTGGAGCAGTACTGGCACTAGGAGTAGTTAGACATGGATGCTTATTACCCCTCCTCCTTCTGTGACCTTTGGCCCGCACTCGTCTGTTGAAGCGGCGGCGGCGGTAATGACGTCTCTTATCGACCTTACCACGGGAGGAGGAAAGTCGAGTGCATTGCTCCATTCTAGTACTACCAAACTTTCCACGCGGACGTGCTACAGGGAGTACGGCTTTTATCAGAGTGGCTCTTTCCACAGGCGAACGAAGCAGACGCCCACTCTTTCCCCTTTTCTTTACGCAGCAGGCATCCTTCCTGGTGGCCGGGAACTCCGCCCTCAACTCGATAGCGTCAGCTGCAGCAATGCTTCGAGAAACCAGCGCTCTTTTAGCCTTCAAACCTTTCTTTGTGAGGATAACAGATGGGAGACGGGAGCCGTGTCGCAAACTCAAGTCCACCTTCATCTCCTCCGTGCCACTAAGTTTGAAGGCAGTAGATCGGGTCTTTTGCCAGCGTGAAGGATTATGGCGATTTGCTCTGCCTGCCTTGCTTCGGGGCAACATCCCGTTGCTTGGAATCACAGATAGGCGACTTTTTCTCCTTTTTACCACCCCTTTACTAGATCGTATTCGAGGATATCCTGTGTTCTTCTTCTTCAGGAGATCACGTCTCCAGTCCCTCGTTGCAGTTTCTGGCTGCTGCTCTTCCTGACGAACATTGTCACGATGATGACCACAATCGTCATCAACCTCATCATCATCGTCATCCTCATCGAAATCATCATCATAATCCCCATCATCATCGCGGCAATCGTTCTCGTGTCCCATTGTTTTCCTGCACTCCCCGTTTTGGACCTCCTCCACTTCCATGCAACCCACGGTGTTTGCGCTGTCAGACATCTGACCATCTCCTTTCTTCGCCTGCTCACGAATCACTGCAGCTCCCTCAACAGTACCATCACCATCATCTAGTAGGAGCAGTCCGGTCGACCTTAGGCCAGCATTATCAGGCCTTCTCTCTCCTGCGGCCCGTTGACGCATTCCTTGTCCTTCATCTCCTTCTTTGTTGTTCAAGGCTTCGGTGCTAGCACCGCTGATGGTGGTAGTTTCGGCCTCGGTTGTGGTGTTGGTGCTGCAATGATCAGAGGAAGACGAGAGTGGAGGTTTCCTAGGAGCACATTTCTCAGACTTTCCATCTACGGGAAAAGCGGTGCCTCTTCCGGTCCGACTGCCCCCACCGCGACCTCGGCGGTGACTGCCGTAGACAATCGCAGGAGTCAGGAGAGACTGAGAGACGCAAGGCGCAACACCTTCGCTCTTCTTCCTGTGTCCCTCCCCCAGTCTATCATCCACTAAACGGTTGGGTGTGGTCCCCCTGGTAGAAGAACTCCGTTTCAGCCCGACATGTTTGACCGATCGATCGTCATTGTCAACACTTAGATCCTCCGACCTACTTTGCGCTCTTTGTGCCGTCAACCTGATCCACCACTTCTCTCTTTTTTCCTCACATTGCTGGACCAACCTGGCGACATGTCCCTCACCCCAGCGGGTTGGCCAGCTCTTCCTTTGACTTTGCTTAGTAGCTTCAAAAGAATGACTGACACGCTTCAGAGCCAGAGGTACTTCTTGGGGAGGAGGAGGAGGAGGAGAAGGAGAAGGAGGAAGAAGAGAGGGAGGAAGCGGCGGACCACCTTCGTCGCTGCGTGCGTTACTCACCTTGATCTTAGGGTTTCCCGTCTTGGCTCTGCTGCCAACGAGCACCTGCTGGCCCGTCTGGCACTGGCATCCTGGGTCTCCAGCTCTTGCCAATCGTACCCACCACCTCTCCTCGTTGCGAAACCAAGGACAGACTTTAGGGGCTGAAGACTGGCGCTCAAATGATGATGACAAGTATTTGGACGATGAGGTGAAGTTTCCTGGACCACCGGCCAAAAACCTTAGTTTGGCTAAGCGACGCCCCGAAGCCTTATGGTGAGGTTGCTCCCGCTGCCCTTGAGGTCCCTGCCTCCTGAGTATAACCACGTGCGATCTGTCAACTACGCCTAAACCATGTTCACCGTCAGCCATGCCAGTTCCTTCAGGTGCCTTGGGCCCAACTTGAGGGCCCATAGCTTTGAATGCTGCTGCTCCGTTTAGGTGCATTCCTACCCCTTCACCTTCGGCAAGTTTACTTGTTGAGAGACGTGCCTTGAGCCCAACTTGAGGACCCAAAGATTCGAACGCTGCGGCCCCGTTTAGGGGCGTTCCGGCCCCTTTAGCTTCGGCAAGTTTACTTGTTGAGAGACGCTCGATATCGGCCGAAGGGAGACCACTGCAGTGATTTCGGGAGTCAAGCGCCTTCCTACGAGGGTCAATCAACGTGGCATCAAACATGAGTGAGTCACTGACGTTTCCCTTTGACATGTACCCCCCAATCATGGAGAGGTCCGTACAGGTTGTGCTGGTGAAAACAGCCAGCTTCTTCTTCTCCCCGTCTATCTTCATGTACGCCTCGTCCTTTTCCAAATCGGTTTCACCATGCAGGACCTGAAGTAGACGAATTCTTGCCGACCCTCCTCCTCCTCCTCCTCCTTGAATCCGCGGGGTAAGGGGAGAAGGACTTGCACTACCCCGGCCAGCAGAGCTTGGTGTCGACCGATGCGTGCGAAACGGAACTTCATGATGGCGACTCAACTCCCCTCTGGGCCCAACAAGAGGAGGGACCATGCCAAGGCCAGGGGAGCCTGACGCCATTGGTACTGCAGCCCTGGTAGCACTGGTACCACTACTGCGATGGCAATAGGAACTGTCCCTTGTACCTCCACATGAAGAGGAGGCAGTGTGGGACCGTGCAGGTCTCCTTCCCGCTGTTGAGTCGGACCTGCCAGTGAGGCCTAGACTCAACCCCCCCACCTTTGATTGGCTACTACTAGCAGTTGCTGGCCTGCGTGCTATCCCAACTAAGTCATGCTGACGCCTCTGAGAATCCCCATGCCGTGCACGTGCTCTCAATGGCGACATACACGCTTTTGGCTCCCCAGTCGGACTGAAGTTCGCATGCATGCCGCTCCTCTCGTCATGGGGCATCAGTTCTGGAGCAAATACATGATGACCATCTGATGGTATCAGTTGATGATGGGCCCTGTGACCTTGTATGGACGAAGTGGGCTGCTTCAGGTAACTGGAACTCTCTGGAAACAATTCGAACTCGGCGAACATACGCTGTTCCGTCCGATCGACTTGCTTGTTCTTCACGGCAGCTCTCTGGATTTCTTGCCTAGGGGCACTGGAGGAGGAGGCAACACGAATCCTCCTCCCCAAATCGCTACCGGTAGTAGTCTCCAATTTCTTCCTTCTACAGCTAGACCGCCTTCTCTTGCCATGCTCATGTTCGAGGTAAAGACGAGGATCCAGATCATTCTCCCGCTCATGCTCATGTTCAAAGTAAAGATGAGAATGAAGATCAGCCGCATCCACAAGAGCTCGATCTGCTACATTCACGTCTGCAGAGGCTCTTGGCAGAGGACCTGGTGGCTCCTGGGCGGAAGAGTTTTCCGACTCTTGCATATTCTCCATGCCCATGCAAGGCTGATGTAAACGGGGCAAAGCCTCAATTGCAATTGAGACAGCCGCACTCTCCGCACAACTCGAAGGGAACGGCACGTTATTTGGAAGTGGAAGCAGAGGAGAGGAACCTCTTAGGACCTCCTGAACTCCTCTTCTTCCTCCTCCTCCTCCTCCTCCTCCTCCTCCTTCCCCTGCTGCCACTGCTGCTGCTGCGGATTTTTTCGTCTTTCGACGATGGCGCTGCTGTTCAGATGCAAACCCCTTCTTCGAGAGAGGAGCATCGTAACGATTATTCACATGCCATCGCGCACTAAGTGGATCACCTACATATCTTCCGTAGACTTGCTTCTTCAGCCGCGGTCTTGCCTTGACCCAATGATTAATCGAATCGGAGGCATGATGCTGTCGCATTTCCAAACGCTGAGAAGACGACGATGGTCGTTTCGGTCCTTCGTCAAAGCAGGAAGCCAGCGGACAGTCCCCTGGGTAGTCCATTCCATCAGGAACCGTGATGTCTCCGCGAGCTGGCGCTGTTATTGACCCTGACATCATCTCTCGAGACAGCAACTGCTGCTGCTGTTGATGTTGCTGCTGCTGCTGCTGTTGCTGCTGTTGATGTTGATGTTGATGTTGATGTTGATGTTGACATTGATGTTGATGTTGCCCTTCTTCTCGTTCCTGTTGCTGTTGACGTCTTTGGTTCAGGTGATCAGGGCGATGGAGTGGGAGACGATCTAGCTGGGAGTAGTTGGCAGCCTTTGAGGCAGCAAGATTCTGGACATGACGATGCCTTTTCTTTCCAGACGAAGATTGATGAGGCGGTGGGGAAGGTCGCCGGTGAAGGGCATGCAGGTCCTCTGGCCGAGAATGTGCTTGACTGTGACGGCGACGCTTTTCAGTGGAGAACGAAGGAGGGGAGGAGACGCTATCACCGCCCGGATAGATGTCACAAGGATGATGCCGTTGGCGTTGATGCAGGATATTCATCGGGATATTCTTGACCAACCTGGTGGTCGAGATCCCGCTAGGAATGCTAGCGTGCACAACAGGAGCCACGGTCGGGACGGAGATCGACGATACCAGGGAGTAGGATCTCGACCTGGGAGAGGGTTTCAAATGCAGTACGGGTATTGTGAAGGTATGCCGAGGCTTGAAAAGCGCACTGGAGAGAGAGAGAGGCTTCAATGCAGGTGGCGAAGAGAGCAAGGAAGAGGAGGAGGAGGAGGAAGAGGAGCGGGAGGTTGGCAAGGTAGATCTGCAAGTGGGCTCGGAAAAAGACGACCTGGGATGTGTATGAGATTCCGACTGCAAGTTTCTGGATTCAGCTGGTTTTTGCACCTGCTCTTCCTCCTGCTCCTGTTGCGCCAGCGATGGCTGCCGTTGCTCATGATGATGAGAGACTGTAACAGCTCCGGGGGTCGAGACCATGGCAGCTCGCTGCGGAGGGGACGAAGGAAAAGCGGAATCATCAACGTCCTCGGGAACGAAAGGAAACGACAAGGAACTGTCAGCGGGGTAAGCTGTAGCCCCCGTTTTCGGTGTGATAATGACATGGCTAATGCTGTCGACGAGCGATCGAGGCCATGGGAAGCCACTTCCTGGGGGCAAGCTTCGAGAAAAAACGTGGTGAAGAGAAAATACTTGTTACGTAACGGGCATCATCATCTTGCTCTTGCCAACGCCAGTTGTACCAAATAAAAGACTGAGCGGAGGGAAGAGGAGTAGAACGAGAAGAAGAGGAAGGTAAGGCGGAAGATGGTGAAACGGTCAGATCCTTCTATAGCAGAGAGAGTGCCAGATCATCGCATAGGGGATGGCCTCCTGCTTAACAAAGGAAGAGACAGAGGAAATAAATCCGTTAGAAAAGCGGCCGCAATCCCGACTGATGCAGGGGCTTTATCTTCTTCATAGCAACATGATCACAACTCTTCATTACTGCAGCACGTGCTTGATCCACCCTGCAGACCATTCATATGATGCGTTCAAGGGACTTCTTACATAAGGATTTTTTATGCATTCAGTCATTCATTTAGTCATTTATTTCAAGAGAATTCTTATCTAAGGATTTTTTACGCATTCAGTCACTCGTTAATTCACTTATTCATTTATTCTTTGCCAGCGAGACAGCCATTCATGCTCATTATTTCTAGCTAACGAACATCGAACCTTTCACATGACTAAGAGGCAATAACATCAGTAACACCACCACCATGACCCCAGCCAGCAAAGGCGGGCTCGGTGCTATGAGCTGGGCAAGGAGGGCAAAAGCGGTAACAAGTTCAGAAGAGGCAAACAGAAAGATAATCATATATTAGTTACCGTGGGGAGGCGCATGGAGAACGCAGCCCTAATGGTTTCCTTTTGTTTGTCTTTTTGTAATTTCAGCGATTCAGGAGAGGTTTGAATCGGTCGACGTGCAGAGATCCATTCCTCTCTCTCTCTCTCTCTCTCTCTCTCTCTCTCTCTCTCTCTCTCTCTCTCTCTCTCTCTCTCTCTCTCTCTAACTCTGTGAAAAGGACTATGGGCTTTGACACAAAAAGCAAGGAAAATGGGATGCTAAAAAATGTCTGCTGTCGGTTTCCTGAGCACAAAGGACCTCTCTCTCTCTCTCTCTCTCTCTCTCTCTCTCTCTCTCTCTCTCTCTCTCTC